AGATCATTCAGAACTCAGTAGATTTAGGATTTCCACCCTGCAAAATACTTTTGGCAAGGTGCTGGAGAAGATTGTTGGTGTTAAAACTGCAAGCAGTTTCGAAAAGGGAAGATCTCCTGCCAAAATGTTTTGGGTAGTTAGCAACCAGGGAAAGATGATAAGTGGTTAAGTCCCACCACTTTTGCCTTTGATGTTTACTAGGGATTTCATAATAAGCAGGAGACCATAGCAGCAGCACTTGAGCTTGAGTATGCCTACAGTTGAATCAGACATAATATTTCCATGTCTGCATTCATGGAGATGGAGGTCTGACCCTGACTGGTGATGTCATGCATTCACGCATGGTTGCTCTCCGACAAGGTAATGAACCTCAGAGCCATGCAAAATCACTCTGGGACTGCTTCAGGGTTCTGCAATTTCAGCAGTTCTCTTCAATGTGTATGCGAGAAAGATTGCAGAAGTTGAAGTTGTTGAACGGATATTGACATTTGCCATTGATGTTTTTTGCATACAGGCAGAGGAATGATAGGCAACTGATAGCTCAAAAGCTACAGGCAACAGTAGACAAAGTCACTGACTGGTTTATAGAGATGGGGGCTGTCATCAACAAAGAAAAGGCTGTTTCATGCTCTCTGGACAAAAGGATTGTTAAAGCTGATGTCCAAAGATTCACAATAAATGATAAAAACATCAGTAAAGAAAGCTAACCGAGGTACTTAGGTCAATTTCAGTAGAAGCCAATCCTTCAGGGACCAAAATGGAGCAGCAAAATGTCAAAAGTGATACAATGCATTTAAGATTACGGCATCAATAGACATTAAACAGAGAATGCTGTTTACACTCTTTCAGCACTTGATCATCTTGGTAATCGGTTATGGACTTGAAATGCTACCATATCAAAAAATCAACTGATGAAATTTTAACACACAGAATGAAGCCATAAGGGCGATTCTGGGATATACAAGAAATACTCCAATATCTCTACAATAAATACTTGCACTTCTGACAGTTACAGAAATATCAAATTGCTTCAAGCAAGGTCATATCTTAGAGTAGCCCCATATTAAAAAAGAAGAATGTCTTGGATGGTGCAAGCAGAAGGCAAAAATAGATGTGTGCATGCTTGAAAATATTGTGCAATGAGAGGAATTGGTCAAAGTGTCCTAGTAACAATCTGGCTTCTGTATGGTTCTAATCACATTAGGCTGGTAGTGCATGGTGTGGCCTATGAGCACTGCAGAATCAGAATTTCAACAACTGATTGATGACACACACACACACAATTTGTGTATTAAGAATCAACATCACAGCACTGGGAAACTCTTATAAATGTTTCGTTCCCCATCTTCAGCAGCAAGCAAAGTGTTCTAATTCTGATGGCATCAGTAACTGTCTGATTGTATATCCATGTCTCCTTTCCCTTGAATGTTGAGCATCTGCCAGATCACCTGGTAACTCCTTGCAATGCTATGACAATAAATTGAAAGATAAATAGGTTCAAGTAAAATTTTTTTTTGCAAACAAACATTTCACGTCGTTGCACAAGATTTGTTGGCCTTTCATTCGTGGTTCAAGATCTTCCCATGCACTGCACTATCTTCTAGGGGTTTTAGAATATGCGTTAGTTGCCATCTCTACAGGACTCCAGTATGTGTCTATGTGTCTCATTCTGCCACATGTTTCTCTCCTTCGCCACTCTTGGTATGCGTCATGCATACATTCGTGGCAACTAGGCTGCACACACACTCATGGGACCTAGATTGCATACACTAGTGGGACCCATCCTGGGTACACTCATAGGACCTAGGCTGCACACACACTCATGGGACCTAGATTGCATACACTAGTGGGACCCATCCTGGGTACACTCATGGGACCTAGGCTGCACACACTCATGGGACCTAGGCTGCATGCACTAGTGAGACCTAGGCTGCATTCAGTTGTGTTGGACGTAGGCTGTATTCTCTTGTGGGACATAGGCTTAGGGTGGGGGGAGGGGGTGTTGGAGTTACGGCCAGTTCTAGAGGTTTTGTAGTTGTTAAAAGCACTCATAACTTGGAATACAGAACCCTTAGATCATTGAAAATAACACAGGGTCACACCCCTTGAAGATAGTGCAGCCTGTGGAAAAGGTCACGGCTCATGAGTGGAAGGTGAAGAAATCTTCAATGACATGAAGTGTTTTTTGGGAATAAAATGTTACTTGTACCAATTAAGGATTAATTTTAGGATGCTGCAGCAACAAAATACTGTGTTAGTAGTTAAATATTTATTAACTCCCACATTGTTTGGCATCTTCCTCACTGTGTTGCTTTGGCATGATTTTGGGACAGCCACTGAAAGTATATATCTCTGTACGAGGTCAGTTGGAAATCTTTTCAGTCGGTCCAGGCTTCATGTATTTACTAAGGGGCCGACAAGATACTTCAGGGACTTTCTGTTTGTGAATAATGCAGCATTACTACACTAAGAGAAAATGATCTGTAGATTCTCATAAATCACTTTGCAAATGCATGCAAAGAATTTGGACTCACTATCAGTCTCAACAGAGCGCAAATGGTAGAAATGATTGGGGTAAAACCCACCAAGCATGAGCATTTACGACCATAAGCTTTTCACTGCACATGGGTTTGAGTAGCCAGGCTCTTGAATCATAGATGATCTTTACCTAGATGCAGAACTAAGCAGATAAATAAGAATGGCTTCTTCAGTGCTATCCAAACTCAACAACAAGAGCATGGTCGAACAAAAAGAGTGTGAATAGGACCAGAATTAAAGTTTTTGAAGCTTATATCCTAATGCGCACCTTTATGGTAATTAAACTCTAAATGCTCCTCAAGAAAAAACATTGAATACATTCCATGTGCGCTGTGTGGGACACATTCTTGAAATATGGCAAGATTTTGTTCCGAACGAATGAGCACTCAAAAGAGCAGGAATGCTTGCAGTGTACTTTCTACTGAATCAGAGATGGCAGCGCTGGTTGAAAAATGTCTTCTGCATGGTGGCAGTCGTTTTCCAAAGATCTCATTTATGGTGAATTGGAAACAGGGAAAAAAGGTCTGCAGAATGCCAATGCTATGAGGATGTTTTTTTTTTTGATACAACCTGAAAGACACCAGAATTGACACAGATGCTTAGGAGAGATCAGCTGAAGAGCAACTTTTATGGAGGCAGACAGTGACACTTTGCAAAAGGCCAAACATAGCAAGCTATAGAGAGAAGACCAGCCTCAGTATAATAATGTATCAAAGCTTGTATGTAGAGCATGCCACTTTCACATTGAACTTGACAGGCATAGCAGATGCTGATCCCAAAACGAGCGAGCATAGCTTCATGGCCCCTAGGATCAGTGAAATGTTAGACAAGAAAACAGATGACATGCTTAGAGTTTGCTACAGTGAAATCTTTTTTTTTTTTTTTAAATAAATTATTTTAATGTACTATATATAAAATGTTTATGAAGGTAAAACACTTAATATAAGTGAATACAATTTAAATGGCAACTAGTGTAGTAATTTTTGTTTTAGAGACAATTTTAGAACCGTATCATTTAGCACCATCACTTGGCACAAAACTGACTTTCCAAAACAATTATTTTTGCCACCCACATACACAAATAACTTTTAAAAAAATGTCAGAGTGCCTGTAATTTTGCAGCTATATTTCTTAATAAATAAGGTGAACGACACTTATAGAAGTGGGAATTAATGAAAATTTTAAAAAAATTAAAAATTCCAACAAATTAAATATTTCAAAGAGCCTGTTAGTGAAACTAAAATGTATAGAGAATGTACCTGTAAGGTTTTAAGAAACCCCAGTTGTGTGTGTAATACATCCTTGTGTTGCCTACTATTGTAGACAAGCTCAAGGTGTCACAGGTGAGGTCCCACTTCAAACTTCAAAGTGCAGACAGTGAAGCTCTGGATGCAATTAAAAGGCATGGGCTGATAGGCTAAAATCATGGATGGCTCAGGCATAAAACACTGTTAAATATTGAGTGAGAATGGGTCAGAATTTTCTAGGAAAAATGAGATTGGTGTTAGCACAGACTAGTCATTTTCCTGCTGGCCAGAAGGTCTTAGATTCAAATCCATACCATGGCAGATTTTTAAAATATTCTTGATCTTGACTAGGGAGTCGACGTGGCGTTGGCAGCTAGATGCCAGCCTGCTGATCGGAAAGTCATTGGTTCGCGTCCTGACGGAGCCAGGCTTTTTTCAAAATGACCTTAACCCCGAGGACGACCCAGCCTTGAGTGGGTACCAGGTGCAGTCGTGGGAAGTAAAGGTGACCGGTATAATGCTGACGACATCACCCACCAAGTGCTGATCGGTCTATAAAAATCTAGGTCTAGCCCTAAAGGCGTGGAAAAAGGGTCCTTCCTTTACTTACTTTTTCTTACTTGATGTTGACTCCCAGGTCAACCCAGCCTAAACTGGGTATCAAGATATATCCTGGGAAGTAAAGGTGGCTGATGTGATATCGACCATTTCACAAATTAAGTGCCGATTAATTTAAGAAGTGTTTTAAGAAGGAGAAGAAGCTCTTGTGGGTTTATAGCAAAAGCAAATGGACACTGTTTAATGCAAGAAAGCTCATACCACACTATCTGGTTTGAGAATGGAGATGGAAGAGGTCACTGCAGCTTTCCACTGGCCAGAAAACCAGCTGTAGTCTTGCAAAGTATGCAGCAAAAAATTGAAGACAAGTGTGTTTCATGTAGAGTGGTATGCATAGCTTCAGAGGACACAGATTGGGACCACAGAAGATAAGCTGACAACTAATGCTAAATGAAGTGAAAAAATTGATATATAGTCGGACTGCTGAACAGAAACTCTGGTGGTTGCTGGAAATGAGGTCAGAGCATTTATAGAAATGTCCCAAGTACAATTAGGTTGGTACTTAATTCAGCTAATCTCAGATACAGAATAATTCATTTTCCTTTTTTTATCATGCATTGCCTTAAGTCACTTATTTAAATGTGATTTTTATTACAGGATACCTCGTACAAACATGTTGTTGGCAGTATGCACTATATTGTAAGTAGTAACAGTTGTAAAACGTTTAAATTCATGCTTATGTTGTTTAAATTGTTTAGAAAATTAGAATGTTCAAACTATTATTTAAATATAATGAATTATAGTGGGTGAATATCAGATAAACAAATTTTGTTAGTTAAAAACCATACACCTTTGTTATTAATTAGTTTCTTAGATAAGTACTACATGAACTATTTTCTTCAACTTTGTCTGATACATTATTAAATTATATTCTTCAACTTCATGTGGTTCATTATTAATTTGTTTCTTCTAAAGAGTGTTTTTCCTGTTGCTGTCAGCTATTGGCCTGACTTACAAGATTCTACTTCTCCAGAGTAAACTGGAAATGAGGGGTGTTTGGAACCCACAGCTGTCTGTTAGCTTCAGGTATATTCTATAAATGACACTAAAGGAAAAACATGTTTAAACAGTGCTTAAGAATTAGTTAGATAAGCAGCAAAACATGACCTAATAATAGTTGAGGGGAATTTTTTTAATACAAATGTTGGATGTGAGAATATGGGATGAGAAGAAGTTGATACGATGAACACAAATGGTGAAAGACTAACTTAGTTTGGCATGCAGTCATATTTAATTATTAGAGGCACTATCCATGTTCATAAACTGTCATGACACTCACCAGATGGAGTGACTAAAAATTAAATCGACCATCTCTGCATAAATAAAATATATAGAAGCTCTTTAATGGGTATATCTTCTTCTTCTTTAGCATTCTGAGCCCTTGAGGTTAATTGCTGCAGATATCACCCACCTCTACTCATCTCTCTTGTTGGCCTTCTCTTTCCAGTTTGGTGACACTAAGTGTTTGCAGGTCTGACTGGAAATTATCTCTCCATTGTCTTTCTGGTCTGCCTCGTGGTCTACAACCATTCAACTTCCTTGTGTATATGGTTTTTACCTCTGTCATCTGACATTTTCTCAGTATGCTCCAGCCATTTCAGCCTGTTAGATCTTATGCTGCCAGTGATCATTGGTGATTGAAACATGAATTTTGTTGTTATTTTCTCACTCTCCATTCCCCACTGTTGGCATCTTGGATGGGTCCAAAGATTCATTTTGAGACTCTGTTTTCGAAACTTTGTATTAAGGCTTCATCTCTTTTAGATGTGCTTAGGCTTTTCCGAAGGTGTCTTCACCTAGCCTAACTACCAGCAGAGCCTCCCAAGCCGGAAGGGTCCAAGGGCAGAGAACAGACATAGAAAGACACCCTGGACCTTTAGGTTGGGAGTTGAAGCATGGGGCCATCACCCCCACATTCGAAAAACTTCTTCATCATGAAACAGATATCTAAGCCTCGATTTAATGAGTGTATAAAGGAGCATATTTAATGAGCACTTAGAGGAGCAGATGTTTGCAGTGACTGCATTCTGTTTATGGAAAAACTGAAGCTAAAATTGAAAACGTCTACTAAAAGACATGTACAACAAAGAATAGACAGTTAAAAACTTTGTAGTGTCAGCTCAAGCTGATGAACCAATTTAAAATTCTGGATAAGAATGGAGATCAAAGCATTAAGAACATATTGAATAACATAAAGACCACATTTTTAGAACCAGAAACAAGTATTGCAGAAATAAAGAAATGTGATTAAAAAACATGGATAAATAATGTCACATGGCAGTGTATTCAAGAAAGAAAAATGAGGAATTTTTCTATGTGCAATGATAAAACAATAGGACAATAAATAAGGGGTAAGAAATTACAACAGCTAGAATTAATGTTTCTTCTTCTTAAGCATTCCGAGCTCTTGAGGCTCATTGCTGCAGATATCACCCGCCTCCATTCATCTCTCTGGTTGGCCTTCTCTTTCCAGTTGGTGACACCAAGTGTTTGCACGTCTATCTGGATGTTATCTCTCCATGGTCTTCTTGGTCTATTTCGTGGTCTACGATCATTCATCTCCCTGGTGTATACAGTTTTTACTTCTTTGTCATCTGACATTCTTTCAATATGCCCAAACCATTTCAGTCGATTAACTCTAATGATGCCAGTGGTCAGTGGTGATTTAAACAGATTATGAATTTTGTTGTTGCTTCTCACTCTCCATTCGCCGCTGTTTGCATCTTTGATGGGTCCAAATATTTGTCGTAAGACTCTGTTTTCGAAAACCTGTAATAAGGCTTCATCTCTTTGAGGTTTGCTCTAAGTTTCAGAGCCATATAAAACAACTGGTCTTGTCAACGTTTTATATATTTTGATCTTGGTGTTGCGAGACAGACACTTTGACTTCATCACATGTTGAAGGGCATAGTATACTTTATTTCAGGATTGTATTCTAGATTGTATTTCTTCTCTCAGCATGTTGGAGCAGTTGAAGTAAGCACCCAAGTACTTATATGTTTCTGTTTGTTTGATTTTCATATTATCAACTTGGATGTGGCCGGAGTTTATATCCTTTCCCTGTCTGGTTATTATCATGTATTCTGTCTTATCTTGATTGATAACTAGTCCCATTTTCTTAGCTGATTCTTTTAAGATAGTCAGTGTTTTAACAGTCTCTAGTTCATTTTCTCCAATGATATCAATGTCACCAGCATATCTGAGTATTATTGTAGTTTCTCCTATAGTACACTCTTGTTTAAATTTTCTTATAATTTTCTCCAGGGCCAAGTTTAAGAGAAGTGGGGACAGAGCATCACCTGGCTTTAAACCATATATTATTTGAAAAGAGTCTGACTTTCTGCCTTTACATATATTACTATATTACAAGTGTCTTCCATACATAGTTTGGTCATGCTAATTAACTTTTTTGGTATTGCAAAGTCCTTCATAGCATTCCATACACTGTTTCTATGTACACTATCATACACCTTTTTAAAATCCACCAAAACATTATGTACGTTTTTTCTAAATTTCCAGTTTTTGCATCAGATGAATATTTGATCTATTGACTCACTGACTTACTCACTGACTTACTCACTGACTGACTGACTCAGTGACTGACTCACTGACTGACTGACTCACTGTCTGACTCATTGATTGACTTACTGACTCACTGACTGATTGACTGACTGACTCACTGACTGACTGACTCACTGGCTGACTGAGTGACTCACTGACTGGCTCACTGACTGACTCACTAACTGAATGACTCACTGACTGACTCACTGACTGGCTCACTGACTGTCTGACTCACTATCTGACTCACTGATTGAATGGCTGACTGACTCACTGACAGACTGACTGACTGACTGACTGACTCACTGACTGACTGACTCACTCACTCATTGACACTCACTGACTGACTAACTCACTCACTGTATCACTGACTGACTGACTGACTGACTCACTGACTGACTGACTCACTGACTGACTGACTCACTGACTGACTTACCTACTAACTCACTGACTGACTGATTCACTGACTGACTGACTCTCTGACTGACTGACTGAATCACTAACTGACTCACTGACTGACTCACTGACTGACTCAGTCACTCTTCTCACACATGCACACACATGTGCATGCAAGCACACACGTACATATATACATACATTCACACATACATACAAACATATATTCATTACATTACATTACACACATTCACACACATGCACGCTCACAAACACACATACATACATACATATATATATACACACACATATATTACATACATACATACATGCACACAGGATCATATAGAAATAGTTTGCACATTTAAACACACACACACACATGTACACACATACTCTTACATACACATACATACACACTCACACATATTCATACAGACTCATTATCATCATGTAGCAGGTCCTTTGCAGAATGTCGCTCTCGTCACGGTCTACCTAAAAGAAACTCGGTCTCTCTCCAACTCTCCCGCCTCATGCGCTTTTATACTTAAGGAGTCACTTATATCCTGTGCCTATCTTCGTGTTGGAAGGCCCCTACCTCTCCTTCCTGGTACCATGCCCTCTGTTATAATTTTTTCCATCCGTCGTTATTAGCCAGTCTTCCTTGATGTTCAGATCTTTCAAGATGTCAGTATTTCTCCTTTTTCGCCCAAGGTATTCTGAGAATCTTTCTATAGCATTTCAGCTCAAAAGCCACTATTCTCTTTCTTAAGGACTTCATACAGACTAACTCTCAAATAAACACACGCATACATATACTTACATGCACTCTCACTCATGAATACACATATGCACCCACATCATGCAAACACATACATGCAACAACGCTCATGTACACCCATACATAGACACACTCTCATACATATTCACACATGCACAGACACCTCAAGAAGAGGAGAAGTACAGGTCACAGTGTCCAAGCAAAAAGCTGACAGTTTGTCTGTTACCTTTTATACCAGCATGCACAGATGTGTGGATACAGTTGAGTGGGGGAAATGAGGTGAAGCCAGGAAATGTGACCTAGTTGGTGCCAGTCTCCTCCCAGGCGAGTCAGAATATCATTAGTCTGAAATCTCACCTTTTCAGTTTTCTGTCGTACACTACATGGTGATGATGACCTGGGTACTCAACAGGTCAGTGGCAGGCTATTTTTCACTTTTCCCCCCTCTGAAGAGAAGCTAGCCAACCATAACACTGCTCCTGGGAAATAGTAACAAATTGTCTATACCTTAGGGCTTGCCTGGCCATATTAGAACATTTTATTTGTCCACAATTTCCTGAAACCTGGAGAAACAACAGAGATAATGTCATTAGAAGGAATCTGAAGGATTGTGGTAGTGGAAGTAGCAGTTGGAGAGATGGCAGTCATGATGAGGAGGATGAAGAAATGTTACACTTTTGTTGGCTTTTTTTTTAACACTGTATTTGTGTTTATTTATTTTTTAGAGATGATTGAAATTATATATTGTATTCATTTTCACATATTTAGGGACAGAGCAATGAGTAATCTATATTGGTTGCAGACAGAGAGCCATGCTTCAGTAGTGAGGCAGCTGCATAGTGTCCTGGAAGCAAACTTGCATTTGTTGGAGGAAGTAAAGACAATTTTTTTTATTATTTTACTGAAAATGAATGTACACAGATTTTTTCATTTATTAGACAAAGACATGGAAGATTGTGCCTTCTGCTTCTTTCCACTGCCTTTCTCCATCACCACCTCCTTTTTTTCCCCCTTCTTTTCCTCTCTTCTCTTTCTCCTGCATCTCCTCTTCTTCTCTTCCTAGTGCTTCTTCCTCCTTCTCCTGTTAACATTTTTATTTCATGCTAGTCTCTCTTTTGTAAAGGAATAATATCACCAGGGTACCAGTCAGCTGGTAACTCCCTTCTTATTAGTTTTGAAGCACTGGGTAGTCAGTCAGATCATCATTCATAAACATTTTAATTGCTTTACGCCATGTTGTGACTGTAAGGGAAAGAGGAGGAGAATGTGTGTTTCAAAAATATGTAATTGTAACTGCTTAAATAAAGAAGGTTTAAGAAGTTACCGGCCAGGGAAGGATACATGGTCAAAGGCAGCCACTTTTGCCTTTGACGCCTTCAAGGGTTTCCAGAACAGACAGGAAACAGTGGTAGCTGCACTTGAATTAGACAATGCTTACAAAAGACTCAGATACAAAATCTTGACGACACTTATGGAGAAGGGAGTTTGTCCTTGGTTGGTGAAATATAGCAGCTGTTTTGTATTCTCCTCGGGTAGCTCTCCACATGGGTTCATGGACCTCTGAAGCATGTATTATAGCCCCAGGACTACCACAGGAATCTGCAGTTTCACCTGTGCTTTTCAATGTTTTTACAAGCAAGACTGCGGATCAGGAAACACCTGGAGTTTTCAGAATATTGATATTCGCAGATGATTTTCTCGCATATAGGCAGGGAAGATATCGGACTCAAATAGCTCAAAAATTACAGGTGACAATAGATAAGGTGATCGACTGGTGTACAAAGATGAGTGCTGTAATCAACCCAGAAAAGGCAACTGTCCTGTGGTGTTCTTTGGACAACCGGATTGTTAGAGCTGATGTTTCAAGCCTCAGAATAAATGGCAGGGACCTCAAAAGAGACAGCAGACTGTGATACCTGGGAACCACCTTTGACAGAAGCTTGTCTTTCAAGGATCACGTAGAGGAGATTATGACATGGGCCCAAAAAGTTCTTAATGCACTCAAGATTATGGCAGCAATTGACATGAAGCAGAGAACATGCTGTTTACACTTTCTAGATCCCTTTTCACTCCTTAGATGCATCGGGTATATGGAAAGAGCCTCCCATATTTTTACAGACCAATCGCAGCACTTAATCATTTAGGACTGCTGTTGCTCACTGTCTCTAAGAGTCAGCTAGTGAAACTGGAGCACGTAAAAAATGAAGCTATTCCGGTGATCCTGGTATATACAAGAGACATTCTGGTTGTGTGCATGCAATATATCCTTGCATTGCTGACTATTGCTGATAGGCTAAAGGTGGTGCAGGCTAAGTCGTACCTCAGAGTAGCTGCAGACAAAGAGCACCCTCTGTATGAAGCTTTGGATGCAGCTAAGGATAAAAAGCTGAAAAGGGGAAAATCATGGATGGCTCAAGCAGAAGACACAACATGACAAGTATGCATGCTGGAGAACATTGGGTAAGGAGAGGAGTGGGTCAGATTACCAGAGAAAAAGTCTGACCTGTTAAGGGTCATGATCACATTAGGCCAGGAGTTCAGAGGAGCCAATGGGGGCTACAATAGTGGAAGTCCAGCAGTTGATTTACGTCAGTTCTCGTCCAAATCATCTGCTTATCTATACAGATGATTCTTTGTTGAGAGGGAAGAGCAGTGGCCTGGGGGTTCGTAGCGAAAGCCAATGGAAAATTGTTAGTACAGAATAGCCTAGCATATGATACCACAACATCTAGCATGAGAATGGAGGTAGAGGTAGTCACTGCAGCTTTCCGGTGGCTAGATAACAAGATGCATACACATGCATACAGCATTCACAGTATGCTCAAAGGGGGAAACCATCAAAGAGATGAATGGCGCCTTTGCTGTTACAACTAGTAGCCTTACAATGGAAACTATGGCTGTAACAAGGGCCCTAACATGGCTTGGTACTCAAAAGTGACTATGAATATGCTTTAAAAAAAAATCCAAGCTGAATTTATCAGGCAAGAATGGATAGCAGCAATAAGCACTTCGTGAATATCTGCCCTAACCTTCATCTTTGTGCCAGGTTATGCGGGTGTTTAAGGTAACGAGCGTGCCGACTATCTTGCTGACACTGTGCTTGCTATGGCTGGCCCAGTACTGAAAAGAAGTGATGTTCTCAATACCTTGCGCTGCACTTACCGTACCAAGAACGCCAAAGGACATAACTCTGTATCCCTGTCTAAACAGTTGACATGGGTGTGCAGCCTGGAGCTGCAAGAAATGAATATTTCACTAAGGGGACAAGACGTTTCATTAAACAACACAGAACAGACGTCATTAGTCGTTTTACACTTGTGGAGCTTTTAAGGAGGAGATCTGTCCGGAGTGCTGTGATGATAATCCTTACTAATCACTAATCATCCAAGTACTTGTATGTTTCCATTCATTTGATTTTCATATTATCTATCTGTATGTGGCTGAAGTTTTTATGCTTTACTTGGCTTATTTTTGGCTTAAAATAAGAATATATACTTATTCTTGTGAATATAACATTGGTTTCTTCTCATCTTCCACATCAAGAAAAGTTGATTATCATTGGTACCTCCACATTTGACAGTATTTTTAACTGTCAGGATAGTGAGTGTCATACTCTGCCCAGTGCAGAATTGTCTATTTGTTAAATTTTTGGTTCCTGGAAATGTGTTCTCCACTCTAATTTTTTACACTATTTTCCACAAGGGTGAAGGAAAGATAATATTGGGATGCTAAAGATAAGAAATTAAAGGTGGCATATATTTAGCACAAATGGTGTTTTGAATATTTAAGGAAAACAAATATGAATATTTATATGACATGTAATTATTTTCAGGTCCATATCCTTTTAAGGAGCCTCCACAGGCAACCTTCTGTGAGTACATCTACTTGTAATCAAGATGAAAAATAATGATCAACTACCCAGGCGTATCAAGGTTCCCTATATATAAGCTGCAAATGTTTACTTTGTGCTGAGGCAACAGTAAATATAGCATCACATACTACTAATTTACGGTTGATATACCTCATGGATGATTTGAGCTGATGTCAGAGAGTAAATGTTAACAGTTCTTTGTTTAATTCCTTATTTCATTAATTGTCGGGTATGACCTGACTGTGTTAGAATACTGATCACATTGTTTAATATATTTTATTATTGTGAATCTGCTTGTATTAACCAAGAAATATAGTATTATTTCAAAATGTATACTTTATGTTAATAGCAGGTTTTGATTGTGTTCATTGCCAAAGCCGAGTGTTAAACAGTTTTCAATATATTTATGCATTCCTAAATAAATCACAGATTTATACTTTGTTGATGAGGTCAACAGTTATGGTATTTATGTTGATAACATTTGATATGACAGTTATTTTCATCTAAATATTTTGTCCAGAAGTGGAGTTTCATATTTAAAAAAATAACTATATGTCTATATGTAACAAAAAATCCATATATAGGCCAGCACACTATACCTCAGTCATGAAAAATATCTTTAAAAAGCCTTGATAACACCTTGAACGGGCTTTGAAAGAGCAGTTACGAGTTCGTGGCACACGCCATCACCTCATAGCTGCTCCTTTCCTATGAGGGTAAAAACCACACAGAATGCCAGTTCTGTCTTGTGAAAACAACTGAAACAGACTGTAATCTTAGAGAAGCCAGTAGCAGCTACAGTAGTGGACTACAGTTCCCCAAAAATGCCACCTCAGATGGGTTTTTTCAAAGCCTGTTTAGCACACCAGAGATTTGCTAGCTAGAAAATGTTGATTCTCCTAGATAAATCTCTGATGATGTGGAGGTTGGATGGCTTTAGGCAAAATTTTATCTTTAGTAAAGCTATTTTATTAATAATCTGCAAGCATTGATAACATAGTTATTTCGGGGGAAAGTAATGTATAGAAAGTAATATTCAAGAACTTAACATTTATAAAAAAATTCTCTAATCATTGCTCAGACAACATCACAAGGGAAATGATCTGTGCATTAGACAGAGGCAGAATAGACCAGGTCCCCAGGCAGTATATGACACCAGAATCATAAAAAGTCAGTGGCCTTAGAATGTGATCAGCATCGAACTGTTAATTAGTGCCATGAGTCACAACACACAGATTTTACTAAGAATCACCATGCAAGGGATTACAAAGAAAATACAACCCCCAACGGTCAATACCAACATTGATAGAAAAAAAAATGATGCAGTCCTCCTCAAAATAGAAAAGACGTAAACTAATTAGAACAATTATACCTCCATGGGGGAACACTGATAGTTATAAGGAGCATTCATGTGAAACCCATTTAAATGGCTTTATTGTAAAGAACATAAGAGAAACATCAACAGATGTGACAGAATATTAAAACAAAATGCCCCTGAAAGCTTTTTTTTAAGAGGTTCAAACAAGTGAAAATCACATGCTGACAAATTAGGACCATAAGCTGGATGTTAAGTTTGCTGCTTCATCAGTGCTACTGCATCCTTTAATATTTTGGCTTTTGGGGATCTGTTTGCTTCTATTACATGTTCTCTCTTTAGCTGCTCAGCTTAAAGTGGTGACACTATGATTCATTGCCTGCCACTATGCCGAGGAGAAATGTAATGCAGGAAGTGGTTCAAACACCATCTCATGCATTTCTCCTTTTGGTGATTGGTAAGCATCCATGGTACCCACTGTAAACATGCCTTTTGATATTATAGTTTCTTACAAACATCCTTTTGAACTGTCCCCATTGCTTCTTTTGCTATCGAACATATGCTTTGACAATGTTTCCCCTGCATTGCTACATTTGTTTTGGCAATGGCTGTTTCCTGCTGCAACACTATGTACTTTACCTGGCCGTGAAAGATCTATCACACAAAGTTCTTTCCAAAACGTTTCTGCCCATTCTGTCACTGTCTTCGACACACATTTATTACAGTAAGCTGCCTGCATACTGTAATGAATGTACACTGGTCGACATCCTTCAAATGAAAGAAACTGGATCACCACTTTTTGAGCTGTAATTTGACACTTTGGATCAACCCAGCCATTTTCTCTATGACTAGAAACAAAACTTATGTATCATGGAATGATAAGCACTTGCTCTTTTATTTGTTGGTCAGTACTTATCTCATGACTGTGATATGACCATGCTCAGCGCACCCAGTTATACCTAGTGTGTTAAATGTTTGCTGCTAATACATTTGAAAAAAGACCCTGGTGTGTGACAGGGATACATTTTGTCAGCTCTATTAATATTACTGGCTGTAAACTGGATTATGAAGACAGTAACAATTACTTCTATAAATGAAATTCTGTGGACTACAAAAGAAAAGCTTTATGATCTAGATTTTGCTGATGACATTTCTTTCTCATCTCACACATGAAATTAGATGCAAGATAATTTAAACATATGTGATGAGAGGTCACGACAAATAGGTCTAAAAATCTATAAAGGAAAAACAAAGATAATGAGAATAAACCAGGTAAATAATAATTTATTTTCTCCTGCCAAGAAGTGGAATCGTTCACATATTTAGGCACTCTTAGCACTTGGAGATATGTGGTAATCAAAGAATAAAACGAAAGCACCCTATAATATCTTTGCAATGGAACACATGGTCAGAGGAGTAAATGAAAAAAAAAAAAAAACAGAGAAGGGAACCAGAGAGTTAAGTTAAACAGATGGGAGAGGAAATGGGGTTAACATCAAAATAAAATTTAGGACAGCTTAGCATGGGTTAATTTAGAGCTTATGCTCTATTGTGGGATAAAGGCAGAAGAAGAAGAGGTTTTGGATTATACTTTTTATCTAATGCAGTTTTACCTATTTGCTCTTAGCTTTTTTCATGAGTGTCTGTCATTGTTTTCTTACCGTAATTTTCTTAGAGTTTATTTTATTATGTGTGTTAAGTTTTTTATTGCCTCTTTCATCATTATCATTATTGTCATCATATGCCATGCTGGTGAGCATAGGCTATAATGATGTGCCATCCCAAGTGATAACAAAATCATGAATCAGGTCAGTGTTCTTCTCTCCCCTTCCCCCCCCCCCATCCATATAGCAAAGCCATCCAAGTATCTATATCTTTGCCTTCCCCTTGTTCTATTCAATCAATCTTGCTAGTTGTTACCAAGTTGTTGAGTCCAATCTTTCTCATGATATGTCTGAAAAACACAGACCGTCTGCGTCTGAATTTTCTAATCAGTTTATAAGTTTATGCTGTCTTGAGGATGACTGACTTGTTTGCGTTTCTAAAATTCATTATATTTTTTTACCTTTTTTCAAAAACCACTTTTGTGCTGCAAATTAATGTGTTAACCCTACCAGACCACTGGCCCTATTTTGTGGGAATTTCTTAACATGGCGCTATACTGCTGGCCCTATTTTTCGGCTTTTTGTGTAGTACAGGAAAACAATCAGTCACAGACTAAAAATAACTAGCCAATCCTAATCAGATCTCGTGGATAGTCTTCCTAGATGTCCACCTGCATGGTTTGCATAAAATTTGTGTTGTTTTATGTTATAAAAATTCTGAAAATTCACAATAAAATGAGCGGCTGATGAACCAAGCACTTCAACAGGAAAGTAAAATAGGTCTAGGCTTTTCACAGTCCAACAAGTGATCGATACTTTGGTTGATTTTGACTCTGCAGAGTCATAATTTCATGAAGAATATGTTTACAGTTGAAGTGACACCTTCAGCTCGAATAATGAGGAGAATCTTGAAAATTATAAATCTAGAAATAGATCGATAGTAAGAGAAGGGGGCGTGTCCCTCAAACAGCAACATCTGGTGCTTACTATGTGAAACAATCCTGATCCTCCTGAGTGGATTGGCACACACAGGTGGAATAGTGGCGCTAGATAAAAAGATAAGCCTATTTTCTACAATGTCTCCAAGTTTCATCTTATTTTAGCCACTTGTTTGCATGTAACTAATATTTTTGAATATCATGTTGGTTTTTTTTTGTGCTAATGCCCAGGAACTCAATTATAGGGGACAGTTAGGTTCAGGGCCTCAGGTCTGGTAGGGTTAAAAATCACAAGTCTACTGTTTTCACAGAATGGTATTTTTTTTCCTTCCTTATTCTTGTCCCTTGAATAGAGTTGTTACTGTTTTGCTTTGCAGTTTAACATTCATTCTTCTCATAACCATCCAAAGATCTTTAGATTTTTTTTCTCAAAATTTTATATCTAGAGATTTTCTTTGTATGGTGATGTCAGTATGGTTTGTTTTGTATATATATTTATAAGATGGCTATGTTAAAGTGTTTTGATTTTCATTTTAGTAACATTATCTTATCACTGTCTTCCCAGTATTTACATATATTTATCTAGTTTTTCTGTATTAAGTTCTGCATCGTGTTTGTATGAAGCACTTTCTAATATTTATTATCTTTTTGAATGAAACTAGCCACTCCTAATGTTTTCAACCATTCTATGACTAGCTTATGTGAATTGATTGTCAAGTTCCTCCATCTTGCATCTCCTCATGTGTTCCACGTACATATTCTCTTGTGTGCCCTTTTATTTCTTATGTCTTCACTATCACTTCATTTCAAGTGAATTTGATAAGGAAAGTTCATTAAAGATCTCCTGACTCATTAAAAGATTCATCTCTTCCATTTTTTCATCATCATCCTCAATTTCCACTTTTGCTCGTAAGCGCCATGGGGAGGAACAGTTTGCGATCCATTGCTTGATAGGCAGCAATGGCTTTTGTCATTCTGTGTCAATGTAGAAGCTCTTTAATGTCATCAGTCAGGATCTCCTAGGGTGGCCTCTTGCTTTCAGTTCAGACCTTATCATGTGTAGCATCTGCATTGGTAATTGTTCTGGCTGCTTTCTTACTAAATGACCAAACCATTTGATCTTCTGTTTCTCAATAAATTTGCTGCATGGTGTTATTCCTACAGTCTGTCTGATAATAT